CTCATGAAAAACAGGATGTGTTACATCTCTAGATTTAGTTTCAAGATACTGGTCAGTTTTTATTTCCTCTCAGGATCACATCTGATAGTGAGATTTAAGGACACTGGGACAAGGACTGCCCTCACTCTGGATCAGCATCAGCCATGGACACATGAACGATATGCGAGGCCCAGGGGGCCAGGACAACCAAGGAGCAGACTGACTGAACTCAAATATTAAGGGAGGTACATCAAAGAGTAATGAAAGGACAAGAGGACCAGCGAACTCTAGCTACACGTCGAAAGAATGCAACTCCAAGGAGCGACCAGCAGATGGATGACCGAGAGGACCAGATGTGATGAAAGCATCACAGGAGGGAATGGGATCCTTCTCCAATTGAATTAGATAAGTCAAACACTACGTACTACAATAGGATTGGAATAATATGAATATTATTTTCTATGATTAGTTGATATTTGCTGATAAGAACACTAATTGTGGTTTATCTGTCTTACTCATTTTGAGAGGATTGATTGTAAAGACCTGTGACCCCAGGCATAAGACTGCAAACCTTCGACTTCCGCCTGCAAAATACTAAAGGCGGGAACCACTGATCCTGTGTTCATGCCTTTAAAAGCCAAGGACAGAGCCCTGAAGTGAAAGAACTATATTTTTGATTTTTTTCAACAGGAAAGAAGACAACACAAGTATCGATTATTCTTGTATTCTGCAAATATAAACCTGATGATTGTAACATGCCATTGCTTTGCATTATAACCTGTATTACTGTTTTATTATTTCACATTGTGAACCATCCATAGCAGGCTGTTTAGAGGAGTACTGACTGACTGACTTCTGACTGACTTTTATTATTAATTATGATACTTAGTAATGGTTAGTTAATGGTTTCATTTAAAGGTCTTTATCTCCCAACTTCCATCCATATAAGGCTGTGTCAGTAACCTTAAAGGCACACTATAGAACATTTTTCAGTTAATTAATGTGTTCCATAACGTTTTGGATGATTAAATGAGTCATTTCAGGTTGAACAAAGGTATTCTCGGCCGCCCTGGTGGTCAGTGGGGGAAATACCGCACTTGCAATTGCAGGAGTACCGACCCGCACCCACAGGCTCAGAAGTCACACGAGAGTCGGTCTTGCTTTACGGCGAGAACTGCTACACGCCCCCAGTAAAAGCATGCTCGTTGCTAGCACAGTGGCGATCTTTGTGCAGTTATGCTACGTTCACACCGGACGCAGCAAAAGCAGCAAAATCGCGTCTGCTGCTTCATTTTTGCTGCTTGTACCACTTAGTTCTGACGCGTGGCTGAAGCAGCTTTGCTGCTATGGCTGCGCGGTGCAAAAGTGTGTCTAACGCGCGTTGGGCGGAGCTTCACTATCCTTTCTCTGCCTTGCAGCTATATTTGCTGTGATCAGTGGGAATAAAGTAGTTTTAATATGTTTTTAAGTGAGAAAATACACCTGAAAACGTAGTCAGTGCAGTCAGTTCATTTAGATTATTATCCTGCCTTACAATATTTTTTCTGTGGGAGCCGCTCAGACCCCCACATACCAGCGGTGCTCCGACAGTAGGGATCCCTTCATCAGCAGCCTGTGGGCGGGTCGCCTCCTCACGGTTCACCGCGGCAGCTGGTAGGTGTTTTTCATCTAAATAATCCAAACTGCAGGCAGCAGGATAATAAAAGCCAACATATTCTGCCGGCAGATTTCTGCATTTTAAGTTAATTTAGGCGTCAATAAACTGTTTAAGAGGAGTGATCATAGCGCTCTGATCATCAGCGCTGTGTCTCTCTCCCTGCCAGCTCCCAGATCAGCTTCTCTGATTGGTTGACGTGGTGCGTAGAGTAGCAAAAATTCAATTTTCCATCTCGAGCAGCAGTGCGTTTGCTGCGCCTTGACGCGCGTCAACCATTGACTTTGCATGTAAACTCGCTGCTTCTGTCTCACCAGCTACGTCCAGTGTGAATGCAGCATTAGTCATTCGTTGCGTTCACCTGTCTGCTAAGCTCAAAACAACCGCGCCTGGCTTGACGGAGAAACCAGGAGAACAGCTGTGCATATTTACGACAGTGCACTTTTACTTTCGCCCTCTGGGGGGAGCCTCGCTGGAAAATCAACACCGGTTGCATAGTGTACCTTTAAAATTTCGTTTTTTCACTTAAACTTCAAACACATGTAAGTGCACTTAGTCGCGTAGTATTCACATCACCATGTAACATCACAAAGTATTTCATCTGCAATGAACTACAGGGGGGAATGGAGTAGCAGTTTTATTGTCTTATATCAGAAATCAGAATCAGAATATATCCTACAACATGGCCCTATACTTACTTAGCAACCAAACTGAAAGGTCAGTTTTGAGTCTTAGTAACACCATGGTCTCCAAGGCTGCATGAGGGGGTTTGGCAAAAACAGAGAACGTCTGTGTAAACACCTCTTGAGGGTCGCAGTGACTTTGACGCAAATCACCACACGTGAATTCCAGTAAGATGTTGACACAATATTCCTGTGCATGTGCAGTTACGTAATGCGATGTGGAAACTATAAAAGGCCGCCCAGAATGGATTGAAGGTGGGGGAATTAACTGAGACGCGACGATGCAGTGCTGAATGTATGAAGTTTTTAAGACAGCTGTATGAATTCGGTTTTGTAAATAAATGTTCCCCCCATTCAAATGATAGAATGGTGTGAATCGTTGGCCTTCTTTCTGTCATAAGGGAATTCTACCAATGAGCTTCCATACTTTAACCTTGACATGTAATAACTTCTAATTTAGCATTACAGCAATCTTTTTTTCTTACAATTCCTATGTAGTACTTCATGGTAAGCAACTTCTGGAATATTGTATGGAAGAGGGTTTTGAATTTCATATTTATTTCATTTGATTATAAAAAATTTGATTATAACTCAGACAGGTTTTAGTGCTGAATATGTCACTAGTTTTAGAGCTAGCTGAAAGATCAAGCTGGTATCCATGATTGCTACAGCACTGATATTGCATCACAATAACTGTGAAGAAACTAAGGACTTTTTGCTCAATTTGGGAACATTTGGCTCTGGTCCAAGATGCCCACACCAAGAAGCATGTTCATTAAAATCCAGTTGTTATTGTCATCTACTTTAATGTGTATTTGTGTGCATCTTATTTCCTGCAATTTTGTGGCTGATGTGTCAATTTCCGATCAATTTGAGCCCAAAAAATTTAAATCTTGCCTCAATTCAAAAGTATTTTGTGGTTGTTATTTAACATTTACAGATATGTTTATTTTCAAACATTGAATTTCTGCTTGGTTTATATAGTCAGAAATTGTAACCAAAAGTGAATCAGGTCTAGCTTTTTGTTTTTGCCTAGTTTTAATCGAGAATTTTCAAATTACAGTGCAGCTCATATAATGACACTTTGATTCACAAAAGTATAACTTTTAACCTCCCTCCCCCTCCCTATCCCCCAGCATCCCTCCTGAACTATCATCTGATTCAGGCAGATGATCATTCCATATATGCAATGTCTAACAAACTGTGCAGCCAATGCTTACATGACATGTCATTGGATGGTTTCTGTGTTTTTGCCAGGAGTTTTGTAGATTACGGTAAGGCCTGCTAGCCATATTTTCCATGTTCCTTCATGAAAACAAAGGTCAATGTCATCATTTAATTAATGTACAAAAGGCTCCAAGGGCAAAGACATTTTAGTTATTGTGTAAAGCTGGTCTATCACTTTAACCAATAATTCCTGAAACGCAGGACATTCCCACACAACATGCAAAAAGGAGCCCATGGTTCCTGGGGAACAGAATGAACAATAGGGATCAGGAACCACCCAATATTATGTCTATAAACAATCAGGTCGAGGTCTGTGATGGACTGGCGACCTGTCCAGGATGGACCCCGCCTCTCGCCCATTGACAGCTGGAGATAGACACCAGCACCCCTCACGACCCCAATTGGGACAAGCGTGTCAGATAATGGATGGATGGAAACAGGTCGAGGTTTGAAGAGTATTTCTCACAGCTTGTCAAAAGTGTTGTGCAGATTTCCTCTGGAAAGGGATCATTAGTTGGGTGTGGATCTGTTGGAGATGTTTTTCTTGTTTGTGTTCTTTTAGTTTCTAGAGAACAAGCTGTAAAGTTAAACAGAAACTTGGCATAAGTAAAGGTGGATCATGTCAGCACATGAACAAGTTTCAGTTTATTCAGGTATTTAATGTCTTCATCACTTTATCACGATATTTCCTCCTAGGTAAACTTTGTGTGTCACTGTCTTGGAGTAATATTATTCATTGTATACCATGTAATCATTTAATTGTTTAGTAAAGGATGACAAAAATAAATACACATAGATAAAGAGAAAAAGAAATTGTAATATATTTCTGTGTTAATTTAAGCATATACCACAACAGTTTCATATGCTCCATATTTTGCTCCACCTAATCAGCTGTCAGTGTATCATTATCTTCTTCTAAAACTGATGAAGTAGAAGCTCAATGTTTGTAATTCATAATGTTGAAAAACATGTGGTGAAGGTAGGAAGAAACACTTTTTTTCAGAATAGGAGCAAACCTGCAACATAACCAAAGTCAAGTGCCTCTAAATGACGCCTGCAATGAGGTTTATTTACAGCACCTATGTGCTGTAAATAAACTGAATGGTGTCGGGCATGAAGGACAGAAAGAGGATTAAATAAAAAAATACACACTGGGACACAAGAGCAACAACAGCAGTTAATTCTGCAAAACACTTTTTAACTTAGACTTTATATGACAAAGAATTAAGATTTTAAACTGATCACAAGTCCTTTCCTTTAGTATTCAGGTTCACATCTACAGAAACATTTTGATATCCAAAGGTATTACCCTGCAACACATATGTATACTGTAGTGAGCTCCACATCAATACCTGTCAGCGTATAACTAGCAGGAAGCAGGGAAACTAAACTGCCAGCATGAAAGTTGCTCAGCTGGTTTATCTACATTCCAACAGCTGCTTCCTTGCTGGAAACAGTCACAACCAAAAAGATCGACTGCCTCTTTGAGGTTATTTGAAAAAGTTATGTTCCTAAGAACAAGAGAAAAAGGTAGCGGTTGGATCTTGAAGAAAACTGAGATGCTTGTTATCTTTTTAATTTTTGTACAAGGTAAGAAATTCTTCTTTTCTTAAAGTTGCCAGGATGATTTTTAACCTTTTCTATTTAACAACCTCTATCAGACTGGTCGTTTAGTTGATGTCTGTGATGATTCCCTGATTTACAACAATAATATTAACTGATCACTTTGCACATATTTTTCTATGACATTTTACAAATCTTTAGAATCATCAAGCTTGACAACTAAAGTGACTAATAATCAAATATGGATTCATTAAATGAATTAATTTTAAAGGACACTATTGCATCAGGATGATTTAAAAATTATTCAAATTAATGATTTTTTAAAATAAATTCATTAACTAATTGAGTAAGATGTATTTTTAAAATAATTTAATAATGCATTCCTTCAATAAGTGTGCTTTCTATATGATGGTCTACCACAGGGTTTTTAGCATTAGATAATCAACATAGAAGATTCCATTCTAGAAAATAATAATCATTGTATTAATGAGAGATAAATTACTGATAAAATACCCAGTGTTTTAGAAGAGTCTCTTGTAATAATAATAATCTCAGCATTACAGGTATTTTGACCTAGTAAAGATGATAAGTTGGTTTAGGGACAGACAAGAAATTAACAATACTCAGAACAGTGAGCCTAATCAATTACATCTAATAGTAAAGTAGTACTTACACGAATATGCTATAAGGTTTCAATCTCAGTGTTCCAGATATTGCCATGTAACAACAAATAACACAGGTATAAGGAGTATAAATTAAGTCTAATGGTGAGGCAAACCCAGTAGGTTTCATATCCCATCTAGGTTTCAAGGGTTTGCCATGCTTACCTGCACTACCTCAGCCTGGAATAAACTATTGCTGCTGTTTTATTACTTTTATTGCTTTTATTGTAATGTCTATACTTTATATTTATCTTATCACTGTTACCTGTCATGTCCCGCACTTTATGTCAGTGTAAATGTCAGTCTTGTATATTTCTTGTATATTTGTATATTCTAGAGAGTAAAAATAATTTCATTTCCCTTGTATGTCTTGTACATATGAAGAAAGTGACAATAAAAGCTGACTTGACTTGACTTCATAAAGGGTCATGCTCAAAATAATCAGCTGTAATGCTATGTTCATACTGCAAGCACACACCAAAGCATCAAAAAAGACTCTGCTGCTTCATCTCTGATGCTCGTCCACATTAAGGTCAGCCTTCCAGTAAAGTGAGTCCAGATGCTTCTGCTGCTCCTGTGTTTGATGCCAGAGAGCAGCTTTGCTATATTAGCTGTGATCAGCGGGTAGAAAGTAGTTAGAATCTATGTTGAAGTGAGAAAGTCCTCCTGAAAACATGGTCTGTGCAGTCAGTTCATCCAGATTACCATCCTGCCTTCAAAGATTATTTCTCTGTGGGAGCCGCTCAGACCCCCACATACCGGCGCTGCGCTGTCACTGGGAATCCCCAGCAGCAGCTGCCTCAGGCCCGCTCGCCTCTCCAGGGTTTTCCCCTCCTGTTGGTGGCGGCTGGAAGTAGATGTTAGCGTTTTTCAGGTCTGTGCTACAAACTGCAGGCAGCAGGATAATAAAAGCCAACATATTCTGCCGGCAGGTTTCTACATTTGAAGTTAATTTAGGCGTTAATAAACTGTTTCAGAGGAGTGATCATAGCGCTCTGCATCAGCAGTGCTGCGTCTGACTCCCTGCCAGCTCCCAGATCAGCTTCTCTCATTAGATGATGAGGTGCGTCCAGCAGCTAAAGTTACATTTTTCCAACTCCAGCAGCTGCATCTGAAGCGCCTCAGATGCTCAGCAGCTCATGAGGTCCTGCTTCAGCTGCTGTAGATGCATTGCAGGACCTTTTGATGATGCCTTGATACATGTCAACCATAGACTCTGCATGTAAACCAGCTGCTTCTGCTGCTAATTTGCATGCAGTGTCTATGTGATTGTAGCATAATGCTGCGTTCACACCAGGCGTTATGAGCATAAAAAAATTAAACATAGAAGTTTGGATGCTGGGTCCAACACTGGTCAGTTCATATCAATTCTATTCAGTGTATTTCTATAGCTCCAGTTCACATCATGTCATCTCAGGTCACTTTCCAGTTCACCAGATCATCCAGTCAGATTGATTCAAAGTTTTCTATCTAAGGAAAACCAGCTGATTGCATCGACTCATTGACTCTTCAGCAATCCCTCACACTAAGCATGCTTGTAACGACAGTGGAGAGGAAAAACTCCCTTTGAACAGGAAGAAACCTCCAGCAGAACCAGGATCAGTGTGAGCGGCCATCTGCTGAGGCCCACTGGGGTTCAAGGAGACAGAAGCAGACATAGAAAAAGAAGCATAGATACAAAAGGAAACTGTTAACCAGCTCAGCACTCTGGGAACAGCCTATTGGTTCAGAAATATCTTTCTGTGTCATAGCCTCTTGCCTGAGGGTGTCAATGATGGCCTTCTGGACAGCAGCCAGGTCTGCAGTCTGACCCAAAATTTGGGTTTTGAGTGATGAACCAGGCTGGGAGTTTTAAATCCACCAGTGAAAAATGAACAATGAGCGCTCAGGAGAGCATTAGAATTTGGGGACGCTGGAAAAAATGGATTATTTCAGCTGCACAGGATGTCAGGTTCTGAGGCGGGCTAGCTAGAACAAAGAGGGATTAGAAAACTCACAATATGGCTGCTACCATAGTGCCGGCAATAAGGTAGCATGAAGGTAATGATGCTAGTCAGTTCAACTGTAGTAGCCTAACTATTCAAAAAAAACTGAAAAGACAAATAAAGCAGATAGCAACACATAGCATGGATGATTCAGTCAGCCTCAGTGAGCATTAACTTCAGTTCTCTCACTGTAAAACCATCAGCAGTTGAATCAGAAACACCTTCAGATTAAAAACAAACAGCACAATTAAAATATCTATTCTACCAATTTCTCACCCAAGCAGAGTTTGTTTGTTCATGGAATGGAGGGTGTGGAGCTTTGGCTCCATCTCAGTTCAGTTGGTTCAGTTCCCTGGAAACACATCCGCTCAACCAACAGGTAGCTCTCAAAGAGGTTTAACCTATTCTAAGGCAAACAAATGAATACGCAGGAAGGGTAGCTTTTAGCAGCAGCTCAGATGGCAGCAGCACAGCTCCAAACTGCAGCCTGACCCAGCAGTTTTACAGTTAAAGACACTGGCAGATCCAATGGGCATGGATCAGCAGGTTATCTAGCTCCTCACAGAACAGCAATTTGGGCCAGATGTTCCATATGTCTTCCAGAACCAGAGATTGTCTCATCCAATTCAGCGGGCAAGTTCAAAAAACACTGCCTTCAATCAGGTTGAAATGCAGGAAAACAAGACAGTACATTCAGCTCCTCAGGTCCATGGGCAGGGTGCAAACTGATTGAACTAATGAATACAAACGTTTCTCCGGAGGGGATTTGGAGACTATGTCGTAGCTTCAATGAAAACCTGGAGTGTGTCTCCTATTTAGAAGTCCAATAGCTGCAGGACAGAGACAGTTTGAATAGAGTTGGTTGCTTAAGTAAACTCTGTCACTGGGATGTGACATCAGGGAGAGTCACTCCTGCTTACATCATTGACATTTGATCCACAAAAAAGGAAGCCAATGAAGAGAAGCCAGGATAGGAGAGATATGATCTCTCTTTTTCATTTTCATCAGAACTCTGGCTGCAGCATTTTGGATCAGCTGAAGGCTTTTAACTACAGTTGTGGACTTCCTGATAGTAAAGAATTACAATAGTCCAGCCTTGAAGTAACAAATGCATGGACTAGTTTCTCAGCATCACCCCTGGACAGGAGATTGCTCTTTTTTGCAATATTCCTCAGATGAAAGAAGGAAATTCTAGAAACCTCTTTGATCTGGGATTTAAATGACAGGTCCTGATCAAAAATAACACCAAGATTTTTTACTTTATTATCTGAAATCAGTTTAATCCCATCCAAATGAAGTGACTGACTAATCAGTTTCTTTTTCAGAGACTCTGGTCCAAAGACTATAACTTCTGTTTTGTCTGCATTCAGAAGCAGAAAGTTAAGAGTCATCCAGGTTTTTCTGTCTTCAGACATGCCTGTAATCTATGTAATGGGTTAGCTTCATCTGGATTTATAGACAGATATAGCTGGGTATCATCAGCATAACAGTGGAAATTAATCCCATGCTGTCTAATAACTCTACCGATTGGGAGCATGTATAAAGTAAAGAGAATTGGTCCTAGCACTGATCCCTGTGGTACTCCACAGGTAACCTTTGATCATGTGGAAGATTTATCATTAACATGAACAAACTGAAATCTTTCATATATACATTTAAATCCGCCTAGTGTTAATCCTTTATTTTCCTATTGAGTAGAGATCACAGATTATTGGACCGCGGTCCCGATCAGCCCCACCTGCTGGCTAATCCGGACCCAAACCTGATTTAAAACATTTACAAATTACCGCATGTTGTCTAAGGACAGTGTTTTAACTTGAGCTGTCAGTCTGGGTTGCTGCTGCTGCTACTTTTAGACACAGCAGGCAAACCTGTGGCAAGCCGGGCGATGGGAAAGAAGGAGAAGACCATGAGAAAAAGAGAGCAGAGAAAGTGTGGACTGCTGGAAGAACTGCGGTGAACTGGTGAAAGAAAAGTGAAATGGCGTGCTCAAAGATGACCCTGCACATTTAGAGGATGTTTGGCTCAACCTGCTGCTGTGAAGCAGGATTCTCCACCATGAACAGAATCAACAATAAATCTGGATCCAGGCTCAAAATGAGCTCCTTGATATGTGCTTGAGAATGGCTTAGTCTCCGGTTAAACCCAGGTTTAAAGCCTTGCAGGGCAGCCTAAAGCCCACTGCCAACATTAAGACAGAAAAAAGAAAGAAAATAACAAACCATCAGTTCAGGGGTTTGAGAAAATATGGGAATCAGGAAATTATCTATAAACCAAACTGAACGATGGTTGTTCTCTACTTCAAAAAAGCTTCAGATTTTAAAATGGAAGAATTTTCTTTTTTCATGTAGTTTTTATTTAAAGATTCAATGTATAACAT